TTATGTGGTAGGAAAAGGCCAAGAGGGCTCTCTGAGACACTAATCCCACTCATCAGAGCTCTATCCTCATGAATTAATGATGTCCCAAAGGCTCCACCTCCTAATACCATTACATTGGGGGGTAGGTTTTCTTTTCTTTTTATTTTCTTTCTTTTTTTTTTTTTTTTTTTGACAGGCAGAGTGGACAGTGAGAGAGAGAGACAGAGAGAATGGTCTTCCTTTGCCGTTGGTTCACCCTCCAATGGCCGCCGCAGCCGGCGCACCGCGCTGATCTGAAGCCAGGAGCCAGGTGCTTCTCCTGGTCTCCCATGGGGTGCAGGGCCCAAGGACATGGGCCATCCTCCACTGCACTCCTGGGCCACAGCAGAGAGCTGGCCTGGAAGAGGGGCAACCAGGACAGAATCCGGTGCCCCGACCGGGACTAGAACCTGGTGTGCTGGTGCCACAAGGCAGAGGATTAGCCTAGTGAGCCGCGGCACCGGCCGGGGGGTAGGTTTTCAATATATGAATTTGGGGGGTTTCAAAAATATTCAGTCTATTACATTAACTCAACATGGTAAGAGCTGTTGAAGTGACTCAGTGGTTTCTTTTTCTCAAAACATGTGACATTTGCTGAGTCTGGAAGGACAGGGAGAACTTATGAAGAAAGGTAAAGGCTAAGGAGGCATTCCAGACAGCAGCAAAGGCACTGAGGTACAAGTGTGGGTGGTGGTTACTGGAGAGGTCAGTGCCTGGAATGGTAGGATTGGGTCACATTGAGGGCCTTTACATCATTGTCAAGAGTTTAGACTTTAGCTTAGAGGCATCAAGAAGTTCTAACCAGTGTATGTGAGGCTAAACAAGTGTGTGTGATGCCAAGAAGCTTTTCCTTAGCAGTGGTGCCTTGTTGCTCTGTTGTCTTTGCTCCAGGGTCAGCTGTGAAGCCAAAGGTGGTGCAAGCCACTCAGGCTCTTTGCAGAAGCAAAGTCCTAAGAAATGTTTTAATCTTCTATATTTTAGGAAAAATCTTTTCCTCCTTTTATGACTTTGGAGATCTCAGTGTGGCCAGAGATGAGACAGGGTGCTGGATACCAACTTCTCAAAGCCACATTTGAAGAGCTCAGTTTATTTCAGTCACTGGGTGAATCTGGTTATCTAGTTTATTTCTCTTTTTCTTTGAGCTGGCCTCAACTCAAGCACGATTATCGGGATTTTCACCTTTTGTAGCTTCTACTCCTTTATCTCAGTTGCAGGCGAAATAGCAGGAGCTCTCATAGGATTTTTATTTTTATTTTTTTTGACAGGCAGAGTTAGACAGTGAGATGGAGAGACAGAGAGAAAGGTCTTCCTTCCGTTGGTTTACCCCCCAAATGGCCGCTACAGCCTGCGCTGCGCTGATCCAAAGCCAGGAGCCAGGGGCTTCTTCCTGGTCTACCATGTGGGTGCAGGGCCCAAGCACTTGGGCCATCCTCCACTGCCCTCCCGGGCCACAGCAGAGAGCTGGACTGGAAGAGGAGCAATCGGGACAGAACCCGGCGCTCCGACCGGGACTAGAACCCAGGGTGCCGGCGCTGCAGGCGGAAGATTAGCCTAGTGAGCCGTTACCGGCCTCTCTAGGATTTTAAGGTCTGTATGTGATGGTTGCCCCTCCGTACCCCGTAACTAGCCCAAATCATGGCATTTGTGCTTTGGGACGGCTGGTGGCTGTGAGGAAGTCAGACTGCAGGAGGAGGAAGGAGAGGCTGCCGCCGGCCCAGCGGATGGTAATGAAGAGCTGATGAAAGCGGAGGCTATGCGGCCAGGCTGGACTTGAGAGCTAACGTTCCCACAGAAGGATGGCCAGCCACTTAGCACAGGCCCTCCTTCCTTTATGGTGTGTCGTGGGCCTTCCCTCACTTCCCCAGGCTCTCACAGCATCTGGGAGCTTCTTGTGGCCCCACAACACAGTGGGTGAGCATCTCCTCTCCTGCCCATCAAGGTCACCGTGACTTCAACTCACAGCTCTTCACTGTTCTTCTGTGCTTTGCAAGGGGTTTAGCTGTCTTCTCCCTTCTCCTCCTTAGTCCATCTTCAAACTGAAATTCAGCACTGCCACACACAAAAAGCAGTTTTTGCTATGAGCATACAGCTGCCTGGCTCACCCTATTAAATCACATGAGCACCTTTCCCTTATTGTTGAAGTGCTCATCATCATTAAGGAAACATTACAAATAATGGAGGAGGGAGAGGAGACTGAATTCTCTTCCTCTTCCTGATACAGCTAAATAGCTGCACCTGCTCCCCCTTCTTTTCTAACAGAGACAAGAAGAATAAATACATAATTCTTGAAGAAGAACAGTGGCCATCACAGAAAAAGATGTTAATTGAATGACAAATTTAATTACAGACTTCCCCCCCTACAATTTTTGACTTTATCAGATGTGACAGCAATATGTATTTAGTAAATACCAGAGGTCAGATTTTGAAGTTTGGTATTTTCTGGACTAGCGATGTGCAGGATAATCCTCTCTTGTAAGGCTGAGGGTGGCAGAGCCCCATGACTGTGAGGGAAGTAACCAATACGCCATGTGTGCTGTGTTGCTAAGCTGTAGTGCTCGGTAGATTAGCTGTGTTTGATGTATTTTTGACTCAAGAAACCTTTTCAGCTTACAACAGGCTTATCAGGAGGTAAACCCGTCATGTCAGGGAGCATCTTGCGTATGTCTGAAGTCAAGCATACCAGGGTAAGGATGAGGAAAGGCTATGCTGTCACTATGGAGGCCCAGTGGTACAGGTTAGACCAGAGCCTAATGGTTTGGGAACCTAAAATATCATTTTTTCTCTCTTCTCTAGCCATTTGCTAAGTAATGGCAAAATACTCAATTAGTGTTGTATTGATGCATCTGAGGAAAATAATGTGATCAGCTTTGTCAATAGGATATTCTGCTTTCTAACTTAAAATTAAGAAACAAAAGAATTTTACAAAGTGTTTTATTTTAATATGTAATTCCTTTTATTCATCAAGGACACTCCAGTGTTAATGAATGTGGCTAAACTATGTATGTGTTCCTTTTAGCTCATTATTCCTTTAAAGAGCTATACCTATACCTATAAAAAGGAGGACAAATGAGTTGGGTTTTCATAGAAATTAAACTAAAATTGAAATTATTCACAGGTAAATGACAATCTATTTTAATTTATTCAGTCAGTCTTTCCCATTTAAAAAGTGCATTGTGGCCGGGCGTTGCGGCTCACTAGGCTAATCCTCTGCCTGCGGTGCGGCACTCTGGGTTCTAGTCTCGGTTGGGACACTGGATTCTGTCCTGGTTGCTCCTCTTCCAGTCCAGCTCTCTGCTGTGGCCCGGGAAGGCAGTGGAGGATGGCCCAAGTGCTTGGGCCCTGCACCCACATGGGAGACTGGGAGGAGGTACCTGGCTCCTGGCTTTGGATCGGCGCAGTGTGTCAGCCGTAGCAACCATTTGGGGGGAGAACAAATGGAAAAGGAAGACCTTTCTCTGTTTCTCTTTCTCACTGTCTAACTCTGCCTGTCCGACAAACAAAAAAGCTAAAAAAAAAAAGGCACAATGACGGTTGGGTAAGGAGTTTACAGTGTAGTGACTTTGCTGTAATCTCATTCACAGTTTACACCATCTAAGTGAACCACAGTATTCTTTTTCAATTACTGACAGGCAGAGTTAGACAGTGAGAGAGAGAGAGACAGAGAGAAAGGTCTTCCTTCTGTTGGTTCACCCCCGAAATGGCACAATCCGAAGCCAGGAGCTGGGTGCTTCCTCCTGGTCTCCCATGGGGTGCAGGGCCCAAGTACTTGGGCCATCCTCCACTGCCTTCCCAGGCCACAGCAGAGAGCTGGACTGGAAGAGGAGCAACCCGGACTAGACCCCGGTGCCCATATGGGATGCTGGCGCCACAGGCGGAGGATTAACCAAGTGAGCCAAGGCACCAGCCCTATCAGATGCTTTAACATCAAAGTCCTGAATGTTTCAGGAAAGTGATGTAGTGAAATTCCATGATATTCAGTCACTTAATCACTGACATTTAAGCAAACTCTAGTCTCATATTGACAACAACAACCCCTTCACCTTGGGTTCCCCTCACAACTAAACTTCCCAAGAGCATGCTGTACTCACATCCCCCTTCCCCCTCCGTCCACAAGCTTTGTAATCTGACTTCTATCCCACTGACCAAAACAATGCTGAGGCACCATGCGCCCTTTCCAGGCCTCGTGGTATCCAGCTTGCCCCTTCTCTTGCTTTCCTTCTCTCTTGGCTTCTGCCCACATCAAGTCTCTTTGGTAGATCCCTGTCTCATTTTCATTGCTCAAAGTTCAAGACCTGGGTCCCCTTTTCTTCTCATTTTCTAAACTTTACTGTGGTAATTTTATCTTTTTCCATGCAAACAATTCCGAAATTACGTTTCTTTCCTCATCCTCTCCTCTGAGCTCCAGATCTGTGTACATGGTTGCCTACTCTCCAACTACACTTGGAGTTTGCAGCTTCCTCTAACTTTTTTTTTTTTTTTGACAGGCAGAGTGGATAGTGAGTGAGAGAGAGACAGAGAGAAAGGTCTTCCTTTTTGCCATTGGTTCACCCTCCAATGGCCACCACGGCTGGCGCACTGCGGCTGGCGCACCGCGCTGATCCGATGGCAGAAGCCAGGTACTTCTCCTGGTCTCCCATGGGGTGCAGGGCCCAAGTACTTGGGCCATCCTCCACTGCACTCCCTGGCCACAGCAGAGAGCTGGCCTGGAAGAGGGGCAACCAGGACAGAATCCGGCGCCCTGACCGGGACTAGAACCCAGTGTGCCGGCGCCGCAAGGCGGAGGATTAGCCTAGTGAGCCATGGTGCCGGCCTTGCTTCCTCTAACTTAACATGTTGTGAGTGAAAAGATCCTCACTCCCCTGTGGCTCTGTTTGCTACCTTAGTGATATCAAACAATGCAAGTCAAGTCAAGCTGCTTGGATGCTTAAAACCCTTTAATCACTTGGCATTACTTTCAGCAGTAATTTACTATATTATCCTTAACATTTTATTCTCAAAGCCTAGTATACTGCCTGGCACACAGTAGGTACTCAATAAAAGTTTGCTGACTGAATGAACAAATAAGTGTCACAGTGCCATGCCCATGGTTAAAGCTGAGACCATAGTTAGTGATTATAGTCAGATCCCCAGACTTCTCCACACAGAGCTTGTCCTGAATTTGATTCTGAATCATTGGCATGAAAGCAAGTTCACGATTCATCAAGATCAATTTCTTGAACCTACTATTTTCTACAGATGACATTTATTCAGCCAGAAGATGCTGAAGGCAGAGTAATTGTTCTTTTTTTCCATGAAGCACATGCTATCTTGTTCAGTTCTCAAGGAGTATTATGATAAACCACACCACTATTGAAAACCTGTACAACTTCATAAGATTCTCAGAAGAAATACAAGATGTAAGTCAAAAAGAGTGATTTTTTTCTCTTGCAGTAGCATTTCCTGTTCAAAAATTGCTATTAATTTAAAAAAACTGACGTCTCCAAGAGGACATTCTATTAGGTGAAATCATCTTCGTCATATTTCCAGCTGCAGTGTATCTACCCCTTCTTAAAAGTGAAAAAAGAGAAAGTTACTTTGCTGTGTGCAAGTGCCTTATGTGTTTTGTAAAATCCACAAAAAAATGTTCGGTGGTTTAAGGAGAGACAGCTGCATTTATCAGAGAATTTAGTTCAATGCTACCCTGGAAGAAGCTTGAAGATGTGACTCTCAATGGCCTTTGTGCTGAAGCTGAAAATGAAATCATTATCTTTGAACTCCCTCTGCTCACGTCAATGACTACCCTCTGCAGTGGATCCTCTGGTTATAAGTACCCATGAATCTCCTTGCAGACTGTGGGCAGGGTAACTTACAAGGACCAGCCAAAGCCAAACCCCTGGTAAGCTTTGTTAGCATTTTCTATGTGTTTCAGCTTCCATTCTACACCTTGAGGTAGAAGACAATCTCTGCTCACACTGGTGTGGTATGTGTGTGTCTGTCTCAGAAGTGTGTATAAGGTGCATTTCAGTTTAGGGTATCTGAAGTAATATTTTATTTGAAGACAGATATTGTACTTTCTTTGGAGACAATAAAGTGTGCATTTGTTTCAAAAATGATAATCATGCTCAGATTTCTAGGTTATATTCATAATTGCTTTGCACATCACTGTAGAGTGTTCTCATCATCATGGACTACTTGGGGGACCTCACTTGCCAGTTAATCTGGAGAAATGATGGTTGCAGAAAACATGCTAATTCTTACGGATGTTATTTCTACTTTCTTTCTTCACTGACTATCTCTGAGTGATCACCAACATTCTCCCGACCCCTCCTTCAGTCAGCTTCATTCCACCATGTCCAAAGTGCCCCTTCTGCTCTTGTGTGTTGCCCTGGGGCTAATTGGGCCCGTGTACGGAAACGCTCTGAGAAATGAAGATAAATGGAAACCACTCAGCAACCCCAGAAACCGAGATCTGGTAAGAACATCCCAGGAAGTGCTGGGCTGCAGGGTGGATCTGGGACCTATCTGGGGCTTGGCACTCTGCATTCCAGAGCACAGGGGAGGGAAGGCAACCAAGGGCTCAGAAGGCTCCCCAGCAGGACCAGACCAAGGTTTTTCTAGCCTAGTAGGGGGTGTTCTGCTTTTTATCCAGCCGATTCAAACTTGTTTCTGTAAGAAGAAACATTTAGGAACAATCTTATACACAGCACATGACGTTTGTAAATGATCTTAGACACATTTTGTAGACTTGTTGTGATACATATACAAAATCAGGATCATACCAAGGAATTGCTTTCTGCACAACCCAGATTGAATTGCTTTTTGCACAGTTTGGATTGATCTGATGATAAAACAGATTATCATATAATCACTTGCAAAGTTCAGTTGCAGAAATTGAAAATTGACTTCATGATTCTCAAGTTACTAGGCATACTTTCAGCATATGGTTATCTAGAAAATAAAACTTGAAAATATCACTAAAAATCCTCTTTAAAAAGATGCCAAATACAGTGAAGATGTTGATGCAATCATTTCAAAATAAAGTTTATCTAAAGAAAATGATGTGAAACAGAGTAATATAAGACTAAAATAATCAAACCAATACATGGCATTTTGCACAGCTTCTCTGTGTTTATTCCCAAAGGAAATTGGAAAACCTCATGTCTGAAAGAGGCTATTGCAGCAGGCAGTGGCTGGGTTCTCTCCTTCAGCAACTGTGACACATAGCTGACCATTGTGGAGTTCAATTACGTCCTGACCTTGGTACTAAGAAAGGGTTCACAATGAATCCTCTGACTGGGATACTGTTAAGTCATTGATATTCCTCCCTCCATTTTCACCGAGAATGGTGAATCAGCTTGTTTGGGGTTGACAAGTCAGAAAGAAGGCAACAGGGAAGAGAATGGAAGTAGCTGAGGCTTATACTTCTATTTCTTCATTTCAGCCTCCTACCTGTTAGATTAACCTTAAAGACAATTCAGGGGGAAAAGAGGGAAAATAGTCTGAATATTTTTGGTGTTTCAAATGTGGCATTGATCATCCTCTTTCTCTCTTTAGTTTTTCAGAAGTCTCCAGGCATATTTTAAGGGCAGAGGTCTTGATCTGGGAAGATTTCCAAATACATTTTCCATGAATGAGAATCCCAGACCTCTCTCTTTCCAATCAGATCTTATCGCTTCTGCATTTGCGGATTATGAAGAGCAGAAAAACTCCTTTCCTAGTTACCTCAAAGGCTGAAGTTTCTTCTGAGCTCAGGTAAGCCTAGTCCTTTGTTCTGGGATCTACCCAAACATACAACTCATTCATAAAGCACATATTTTGAAAGCATTTATTGGAAAAATGATTTTATTTTCTCATAGAAATAAAGGCCCAGTTCTGATTATACTCATCATTTAGATTAGCTCCAGGTATTTCATGGTCTGGTTTTAAAATGAAATGAAAATTATTATTTTTAAGCATAGTTTTCTGAGGAGAAATAAAATAATAGAATTGCCAATCTTAACAGAATTATTAAATAAATGAAACAACACTCACTTTTACTTATATCCTTTTCATACCAGATCAGATAGTTAAGTTATATAGAAAACCATGAATAAAGCAATATTTTGAATTGAGCATCTGGAGTAAGTAGCAATAAAAATTCAAAGAATAGTTTTTTTTGGGAAGATAGTCGTGCATATATTTGAGTTTGAACTTCCTCAACTAGGGGAGGAAAAGACAGAATATGAGTAAATGTAGCATTTTTTCCAATAGGAAGAAAATTGAAAGTGTATTTACTTTTATAATTTAGATTTCATTATTCTTATAACTTTAGCATTCCTGTCAAATAAATATCTGTCATTTGAAAAGGAACAGGTATGGTGCATTCCAAACAAATACATTTTGGTTCTAGTTGATTAACTTTTTGTTTGGTCAAATAATAAAGAGAATAGAATCATAATTAAAATCTTTCCCCATTATTCCTCAAGTGCACAGATAAAATTGTTAGGAAGCATAACATCGTTGTATTTCATTGTGTTTGTGAAACACAGATTTTCATTATTCTTTTAAATATGATGATTTTTTTAAAAAGTGTTGTTATTCCAAAAAGAAGCAGCAATTTACCACATGGAGTAGGAGCTTGACTACTGTCCAAAAATGAGAAAATAGAATGGAATGAAGAGAAGTTAGTGAAGTTTTCCCTTGACTATTTTTCACACTTGAGCACGATGCTATCAGGCACTAAAAGAGAGAATAATTGTTAATACCATAGAACCTAGTTGAGTGTGAGCAGATAAGTTGCTGGTAAGCTTTACTTTCTTCACTTATAAATTACAGATACTTATTTCTACCTCAGAAATAATCATAGAAAACATAAAAAAAAAACTTTCATGTGACCATTGAATGAGGTAATGTTTAAGGGTAGGAGACTGAGAAAGTACCCACTTGATGGCATTGTAATATAATAGGAACTATTTAACTTTGTGAAAAGAAGCAGAGCTTTAAAACTTAAAAAAAAAAATTACTTATTTAGAGGCAGAGAGGAAAAGAGCAAGAGCTCCCAAATGCTTGGAATCATTGGGGTTGGCTCAGGACTGAAGCAAGGAGCCAGGAACACCATCTAGGTACCAGGAACTCAATTATCTGAGCCATCACCACTGTCTCCCAAGATCTGCATTAGCAGGAAACTAAAGTCAGGAGCTGAAGCTGGGAGTCAAATCTGGTCCTTCAGCATGGTACAGGAGTGTCTTAACCACTGCTCGCTCCCAAGGCAGAGTTTCCGTTTGGAGTGTGTTTTTCATTTAGAAGCTCTGTGTTCCCAACATCTTCAGCCAGAAAATGAAAACAAAGACTTTTCATTGAAAATATGTTGATTTGGGGATCTTTGTGTTGACTGTATGTATGGTCTTCGATTCCTATAACACTTGCTTTTTCTTTCAGGTATCTGGCTGTTTTAAAACTGCAGATGAAGCTTCTCATTAGAAAAATTCAACCACGGTCTTTCCTACACGTTTGTTATTTTTCCCCTCCATTTTGTATCAATTTGTAATGATTTTGTTCCACATTTCCAAATGTACATATAAATAGGTGGACCTTTGGGACATAGTAACTTGTGTATATGTTTTCGGAGTGTTTTGTCCTTCCTTAAGTAAATATTAACATAGAACATTGAATGTATTTGTAGAAGCTAAAAAAAATGCCACAAAATAAAAAGAGATGATAATCTTTTCAGGTAGATGTTTCCTTTAGGCTTTTAAAACTTGTCATTTACATTTATTACCTTTTATCCATCAATATTTTATTTGAAAGGGACCTTGCTTATTTTCATCATGATTTATTATATATAGGAGGAGTCTGGATTTAAAAGTTAGCTTTTTTATTCCCTAAAAAGAATCAAGTTTCAGCATGTTATTTAAAGTTCCACAGTGTTAATTTCATGCCAAATGAGAATAAGTGACAGATAGTCACAAAGAAGTTTGAAATGAAAAGCAAAGAAACATGAGATTCTAGAAGTTGTCAAAGTCTCTGGGAGATGTTTGCTGCCAATACATTCAGAGGAGCACATAGTACTGCACCAAATATCCTTGCTAAGCCCACCCCTCCCTCTGCAGCATATAACCTCTTCAAGAATGGAGGATAGATAAAGGTGAATCTCCCTTCTTTTCCAACCATCCCTCTCTCCTTGCTTCCACTCATGCTGAATTAGTCTCATCCCCAGATTCTCAATTGGGATAGCTATATTTCCTGTATCTTTGCATCATTCTTTCTATGATTCCTGCAGAAGGAATGTTGTACTCTTTGAAGGTAAATATAAGTGTCCTTGTAACACTGGTCTACACGTTCTAAAATAGTGTACCATGGTTCTTTTCATGGATGATTGATAGAAGAATGAAATATTTGTGCAAGAACAGATTGTGTCTGGTTTAATATATTCTGTCGTAATGAGTTTTATTTGTGTTTGTTTTCCATGGAGTGTCATGAGACCTTTGTAGGCAGAGATCATATCGAATCCACCTTTTTTTTTCCCCAGCACCTAGCACAATGCCTAGCTTCTATTTGGTAAATACTTGTCGACTTGAAATAAATGTGTTGTTGTGTCATTCTTCACACAGTAATTGCAATTGTTTTTAATGTCAAATTTTTTACAAATAAACACCAAGTAATTATTAATGAGCTATGCCTCATAAAAATATAGCTGATTTAAGAGAAATGATAGTGGTAGGAAGCACTTCACCAAGTTCTAATCAACTACCAGTGTTTTTTGTTTTCCCTGTTTCTCACACCCCCCTCCCCATGGGTGTCAAAGACTCAGAAATTTACCTATTTCTAGGCCTTTGATAAGGGAGGGCATTCACCTGGGGTAGGAGCATGCATTATTTAGCTGGAAAATTCTTCACCATTGGCAGCAGCTGTTGATGGAAGCTCAGGGCCCACACTGACTTGAGTTCTGTAATGGCAGAGCTATTGGCAATTGGGGTAGCCGAAGTCCTCACTGTGTGTGTGACCATCCAGTACACCTGGTCCCCAGACATTCAGACACTGTATATTGATAGTTTGTCACCTCTGCCATATCATTTAGACAACCAAAACCACCTTACATATATTTCTAAAAGCCCACTCAAGAAGTGATTTTGTTCTTGGCTGTGGAGTATTGGTAGGATAAGACCAAAGTTGTAGTGTTTCTTCCAATGGAAATAAATATTCTGCAGGTGTTCAAGGGGTCTGTGGCACTACTCTACATAGGCTCTCAGTAGTCTCTCAATAATGATTCTGACTTTCTTCAATGAGGATCCCCTTCTCCAGATCTCTCTCTGAGATTTAGTGTGGTTAGGAGCTGTTGGGAGTTCTGCTCTTCTTGCAAGCCACACACTAGCTGTCTACATTTTCACTGATTCTGGCAGACAGAGAGATTCCCAGATCAGAGACAAACTGACTTCACCACTTTCTCATGGTCCAGTAGGCAGAATGAGTTTTACATTCACAGTGGTTCTCTTTGTTCAGCACGTATCAAAGGGGGACATGTTAATGTGGGCTCGGGCATATGCTGGGCACAAGTGGGTTTGTACAAAAGCTGAGGAAGTACAAATTTAGGAAACCTCCACATTTATAATGAGGCTGCTAGAAAACATGCCCAACCTTTGCCCTAGACGAAAGCATTATGAGTTGGAAAACAAATCTGCTCCCTATTCTACAGGAGACAATATTTCTATTTTAAAGGATGTGCATAACACAGGGGCTTGTCTATAGTAAGTGGGAAACAGTGTGTGATACCAATATCAAGTTTTTGATTCCTTCTAAAAGCTTGACTGGAAAAGATGAGGGGAGTTAGCAGCGGAACATTAAGTCCAGGTGAACATATTTACAGAATGAGAAAGAGTCCGAAGGAGGGAGAATTCGAGTCTTTGTAGAAAGCGGAAAAGTGAAGGTGCCAGCGGGGATGAGATTTAAAGCTTAAATTAGGGGCCGATTTTAGCTTTCCCGCGGGGAAGAAGGGTAAAGTGAAACATGCACGTGGTAGAGCAAGCGGTTAAATCAAGGGGAACTGTCGCTACTGCAAACACCAAATGAAAGCACTTTCGGAGAAAGAAATGGAATAGGAGTGAGATTGGAAACAAATATTTTCTTAAAGATTTGAGAAAATTATCTCTTTGAAGTATACTTTTCTACAAAGACCTCATTTACTTAAAACAAGACGCTTAAAGGAGGCGTCGTGGGGTGGGTAAGACTGCTGTGAGGAAGGCTCGGCCCAAAAGCTGCCGCCTGCGCCACGCATCCGGCCTGCGCGCAGGCGGAACGGTAGCGTGGTGGCTGCGGCGCAGGCCGGGCGGGTTTGCCTGGGGAACGCGGCGTCCGGTTTCTCCGCCGCCCCCGCGCTGGGTAGCGTCTGCAGGCGCCGCCGTCCTGGTTGGCTGTGCCAGCTGTTAGGGCTGTATTGACGGATTTACAGACATGTCGGGGTTCAGTCCGGAGCTCATCGATTACCTGGAAGGGAAAATCTCCTTTGAGGAGTTCGAGAGGCGGAGAGAGGAGAGAAAGACCCGCGAGAAGAAAGTGAGGCGGTGCTAGGCCGGGATGCGTCTGCCCTGTCGCCCCAGTACAGAGTGGGTGGGGGGCCCAGGCGACCCCTTCGGCTGGGGTAGGGTGCCCAGGAACGCCCCCGCGGCTTCTCTTCCTTACCAGAAATCCAGTTTGTGTCTCTTACTTCCCCACACCTTTGTCTCCGTGGTAACCGACTCCCTCTCCGCCCTTGTTTTTGCTGAATACTAAATTTTAATTTCATGGTAGTTGAACTCTGGGAAGTTAAATGGCGGGTGGGAGGAGAGAGTGGAGTATTCGATTGTAGTTCTGGCTTTGCCACGAAGTCGTTTTGGGATCGTGAGTGGGCAACCCACCTCTGTTTTGGTCTCAGTTTCTGTGTTTCAAAACCAGGGGGATTAGGTTTCCATTTTTGAGGAGGCTTTATTGGAGTTATGTAATCTTCCACCAAGAAAGCGAGCTTTAGTAATAACAAATTTTTGTACTACCTATGTTTTTCATACTAATTAGGAACTATATGAACCTTGTGCATATTTTTGCATTTATTCGACATACAAGGGAAAATAAGAAGTAACTGAACCTTGTAAAATTAGTTGGCGATTCCTTCCTAATTCATGTGACTAGTAGTGTTAGGTGTCTTAATTTAAAGTATTAGGATACAATATGCAAATTAAATCATTAATATTAACTTTTTACATATAATGTATTCTGGTGGAATAAGACCTAAATACTTTGAAATGCTTTTAGATTCCGTATATATTATGTAAGATGCATAGCTCAAGTTGTATAGAAACAAAAAAATAAGGCAAATTTTGGGAAGAGCTAAATCTGCATCCGTTTGGGGGTTTATTAATGTTTATTCACAGAGTCTTCAGGAAAAAGGAAAGTTACCAGCTGAAGAAAATCCAAATGATTCTGAAGTCCCATCTTCATCTGGAATTGACTCTACCAAATTCCAGGACAATGAAGGTATGTTAAGATCATTTGCCACCTGCATTAAATGTTAAAGAGTATCAAAGCAAAGTAATAAATGAAAAATGTTTTTTCATTTTCATTTTATTTCATTTTGATGATATTCTCCTGTTGATTACCTGGTTTATACCCAGCACAGTACTCAATAAGTATTTGTTGACATGCGGAATATGATTGCTGATGGTTATTTTTGTGAATTCTGGTGTTGGAAAAGTATTTCAAACTGACATTAGTATTTGGAGGAGGCTGTTTTTAGAATTAGTATTTTTTTACTCCTTTGGTGATAAATTGCTTCCAAATTATTTTCTCTGCCCCATTGTAGTGAATTATACTTCTGTGCAAAGTGACTTCCAAACCCCTGCTTTAGTTACAGTGACATAAGCTAGGAATGTCAGACTGGAAGATCAACTGGCTGCCCAGATGGAATGTCACACACAGCACACGCATTTCAGTATGTGACCTCATTCTGAGATCCCGACCTCAGCTTTACATGTCCAGATACTTAAGTTTGATAGTGCATCCAGACTGACTAAACCTGGCACAGTTTAATTGATGAACTAGTATACAAAGTTATTAATTTCCACTTATCCACTTTTGTAGTGATCAGTTGCACATGGTAGTCATTCACCCATGTCAAGTTTCCTTGAAATGCTAAACTGTTAATTAGGATGTAGCTTCCTGTATAGGATCTGATTAAGAACTAAACTAAATTTTACACTGAAAACACAAACTTTATTCCTACCTTTGGACCAAGTAGGGAAGAAGGGGTTTGGAAAAAGAGAAAAATAAGGTTATAGTTTCTCGCTTTGCCCAACAAGTGAGTTGGACAAGGAGGTGATGTCTGGCAGCTTGCTGGGGGTCCTTTCTCATCTGCCCAAGAGAGGAGATGTTCTTCCATTACCAGGTTTTTGAGGTGCAGCTGTAGTCACAGGCACCAGTGGGTGTCTGCCAGCCAGTCACGATGCCTCAAACTGCCCCTAAGAGCTAGCCATCAGGCTTTCCTTTAAAAAAAAAAAAAAAAAAAAGGAGTCAGCTGAGTGTATTTTGGCCTGTCGGGAGCTCAGATGGCCTCAGCTCAGATGACTCCATCAGTTAAGATATAAAGCTGCCAATTTCCTTGGAGAGAAGCATTCCGTAACTTTCCTAAGGTTCTTGGTGTGAGCATGTATTCAGGGCAGAAGAAGGGGGTCAGTCAGGCACAAGTTTTGGTGAAGTCTACTAAATGGAATTAATGGCCTCCAGGATCATTGTAATTTTTCTTCCTGGTCACTGCTGAATGCCACTGCTAAATTCTTGCTCTCGAGTGACTTCCCTACAACTGTGTAGATAGGTATTGAGGTTGATCTGTTCTGAGAGGAGGAGCGTGGTGGGGACAAGAGGCGCGGAGTCACCACACAGACCCTGGGAGTCTGGTGAAAGCGGGCCAGAGGCGAGCAGCCCGCAGACTCGTTTATTTCAGTTGGTACAACAGCTTATATAGCCAAGATAGCCAATCTGGTCAAGGGGCGGTTTCAGTTCACCGTTGCTAGTATATAAACTGCAGTTTATTTTTATAGACATTGTTTCAAGCAACCTTGCTAAATTCATGTATTCTGTTTGTATGTAGATTCTTTTGGATCTTCTTCTACATATGTAATATCTGACATTAATTTTAATTAGCCATCTTTGTATCTTTATGATTATTTCTCTTTCCTTGTTGCATTAACTAAGACATTCATTAAAATCTTTAGTGCAGGTTGGTACTAGCAGACATCTTTATCTCATTCCCAGTAACTTTCATTGAGTCACCATTAACTGTGTGGAAAACTTTGAAAATACTATTTATTAAATTAAAGATACTCATTTTCATTTATAGTTAATAATTTTTATTAGGAACAGGTATTAAATTTGATTAAGTGATTCTTTTTGTTAAGATGATCATATGATTTTTCTCTTTTGCTTCTTTTTGTGTGATGTATTTTACACATTTCATCCTTATTGGTTCGTCATTCTTATATGTGATCCTTGTGATTTCATAATAATGACATATTTATTG